CGTAATGATTTATTTTTTATAAGAACATGTATAAACGAACGACTAATACCAACATTTGCACACGTTCGTCTAGCGAATCCATATCTTCTAAAAACACAAGTCATTCAATAATGTGCACAGAATATACTACAAGGTGAATTGAAATATAAAAAACGATTGTTAACAAATGGCTATCGATATTCATCAAGATTATCAATTATGTTAAAAGATAGTGTACCAAAAAATATTTTCAACCGTTTAATATCTATACGTGATGAAATTATTACAAAACAAATGAAAAAGATTGAAAAAAGACATAATCGTAAATTAGCTCGATTACGTTCTTATAATGTTTTGAAAGCTGAAAAACTATCAAATCATAATTCAATCAGTATTTCATTACAAAATTCATCACAACAACAATTAACAACAAATAATAATGATAATATACAAAAAAGAGATCGGAAACCTATTACTAATTTATCTCAACGGAAATTAACAATAGATGAAGAAAATGCTCTTATACGTGGTCTCCAGCATGTTTTTCCAACAGGTAAATTTGATAATTCAGGATTTTTTGGTGACATGGAACATTTTTATGCAAAATTAATTAATTTACATGCTGATTATCGTCATTATGAACGTAAAGGTCTCAAGCAACAAATTAAACATAAATTAACATCACCTCAATTAAGTGCTGCAGGTGAATTACGTTCAATAGCTAATTCATTTCGAAAGAAAGCTGGATTAGAAATGACTATGAATAATCAACAATACAAACAAATTAAACAGACACTAAGATTATTAGCAAATGATACCAACATTGTTATCACAAAACCAGACAAAGGACGTGGTATAGTTATAATGGACAAAGATGACTACATTAGAAAAATGGAAACTCTTCTCGAAGATCAGTCAAAGTTCAAATGTATTTATCAGGATCCAACCATTACTAATGAAGATCGTGTAACACGTTTGTTAACAAGATTACTTAAAGAAGGTTTCATTACTAATGCAGAATATAATATGGCTAAACCAACAGGTTCAAGACCAGCTCGTCTCTATGGTTTACCAAAACTACATAAACCAAATGAAAATTATCCATTATGTCCGGTTATGTCTGCAAGTAAAACAGTTGGATATAGTTTAGGTAAAATGCTTAGAAATCGACTAAAACATCTTCAAACAAGTCCTTATGTTATTAAAGATTCATTTGATTTTTTAAACAAAATTAAATCATCAAAAAATGTGGATAGGATATTTATTTCATTTGATGTAGTAAGTCTCTTTACCAATGTTCTACTTGCCTATACAATTGATCTTGTTCTTGATCAAATGTATCCGACATGTAAAAAATCATGTCTGAAACTAACAAGAGCAGAACAATATCGTAAACGTAAGCAGAATGTTGACTTTAGAACTCTACTAGAAGAAGCTACATCTAAAACACATTTTACCTTTAATAACTTAATGTATGTTCAACATAATGGTGTTGCAGTGGGTGCTCCATTAGCTTCAGTGATTGCTGATATCTTTATCACTCGCTTGAAAACAACATTGACGGATAAATGAACACAATTAGGTATATGTGAATGGTATCGCTATGTGGATGATACGTTTGTTCTCATTAATAAAGATGCAAATGTAGATAACATATTATCCATTCTTAATGATTTTCATTCATCAATTTAATTTACAAGAAAGATTGAAAATAATGATAAATTGGAATTTCTCGATGTACAGTTATTCGATCATCTAAAAAACAATGCTTCGAGACAACAATTTATCGTAAACCAACATTCACTGGATTACTAACAAATTGGAATTCCTATGTTTCCATTCAATATAAGAAAGCCATTATTATTAGTATGGTTAATCGTGCACTCAATATATGTTCAACATATAAACTTTTAGAAGATGAATTTAATGAAATAACAAGATTTGGTTTAGATAATGATTATTCGTTATCCTTTATTAATACAATTATTGACATTAAATGAAGTCAACATCATAATAAGATGATTACAACATTAGATAAACCAATAATTGAAAGTGGAAAAAAGAAAATGTATGTTGAGATACCGTTTATTAGATCACCAACTTTAGGCTTAAAGAACAAAATTAAACACCTGACTAATAAACTAAGACCTGATCTCGACATCCAATTCTTCTTTAAACCACCACCATCAATACAAACACTTTTCCAAATCAAAGATCCAATTGCAAAACATATACAGTCAGATGTGGTATATTATATTAAATGTAATGATTGTGAACATTCGTATATTGGCAAAACTGAACTTCAATGTATATGAAGACTTTATGAACATGGTGCACCTACAACACCTTCTCAACAACAAACAACTGTGCAACCATGAAAGTGATGATCCTAACGATCCTCCAGAATTAAGAAGTTCATCACGAATTAAAAACAAAATAGGAGCAACAACAATAACAGCGACATCAACAAATGATACCAACAACGATGAGAAGATTGACAAGTCATTAATTTTTCAACATGAAAAAGAAACAGGTCATCGAATGGACCGGAGTAATTTTCAAGTAGTATAAGTATGGCAAGACAATCATTATTATCGTCTATTGATTAGAGAATCACTGTTGATCAAGGCTTATGAACCTAAACTTAACAAAACAACACACTCGGTACCATTACATGTCTTTCCTGATGGTCTACCACAAGTTCACTTACCTAATCTTGATCATTAATGAAACTTTAAATTGTTTAGTAATGTCGTTGTTGTCTTTTTTCACCTCTCTATTTTTCTGTTCTCTTCATCTTTCTTTTTCTTCTATTTTCCTTGTACAATTTCCTTAACATCTTAATAAATCTTGAAAATGATGATATAGATCATCGAAACGTCGAATTATTGTCTTTTTATTCGAAAATAAAATTTTATAATGCTATACAAAGCCGCTGTTATTTTTTCATTTATTATAAAGATTTTGCCCTAAATAACCACTAATGTTTTTGTTGTTGTCATTGATAATATATACGTATATGTATTTGTTTTCGTGCAATAAAAAAAAAGAGTGGTAAACACCTCACAAATGTGCGAAGACATATTTTGCTAGTATTTGGCAACCTTGCACTAGACAGAAATAGATATTTTACCTTATCTTTATTCGCAGAAAAGAGCTGTTTGAGTATCGTACGGAATCAAGCAGATTCTGCTGTTCGATATCAATTCGAAGAAGGGCTATTTGATCGAAATAATATAAATCTCATTGATCTTATTAAAATATTTTCACTGTTTTGTTTAAAACAAAAAAAATAATAGATGAGTTTTTCTGGATTTTCTTAATATGAGATATGTAATTCGTTTCCCTCGTTGTCATTATTTTTATATTAAATTGCAAGTCGATTTATGCATATTTTATAGGATTACTACATTCACATTATTTGCTGTAGGTCACTAGAAATTTCGATATAATTCTAGAAAAGAGAACATTTCTCGAACTCAGTGTAGAACTTGTTAAAAAGTTTTCTGCCACTTTTTTTATTGACTTATCTTCTTAAGGCCGCTCGCCTCCCCCACTCCAAAAATCATATTTTTCGAAAAAATATCAAAATTGAGTGTTTGTTGTAGGAAGATACGCTGAAGTTTCCTCTTTCAGTTTATGTCTTGAGTTTCAGGAAATAAGCAGGTTTTGGTTGCTCTAAATCATCTTTTTTGTAACTACCCAGTCTTTTTTCGAGATTTTCAGAACTTTTCTGGAGACGCTTCCAGATATTTGGAAATTTCCTAGAAAACTGATTATACTATCATGTTCAGCATGTCAAATTACCTTCGTTTTCAAATTTTCATAACGAAATGTGGTCCCTGTGATGAGTTATAAAAGTTTTTCGGCCCATAGTAACACCTATAGTGACAAATACCTCCATTATTAAAAATCTTCTCTCCTGCTTATCCAACGACCGAAAATTCTAAAATTTTGAGTATGAAGGTTTCTCTTCACGCTTGGTATGATGGCAACGGCAGTTTTCAAGAAAACCTCTAGGACTCTTTTTTCTCCCCATATGGTGTGTAACAACGGTTTTCAACTTGTTTATCGATTTTCTCACATTTGATTTTTATGGGAGTGGTCGATCTTCGAAGAAATTTTTTTTCAATATACTTCATCCTAGAGAGCTGCGGCTTTTTTAATCGATAGATACGTGCATAGTGCTTCGGATGAGGGAAAGGGATTTTACATTTGACCCTCAATAGAAGAACAATCATGAGTTTTCTGAAAAACCTTGCTTAGAATTTTTAGAATTTGAAAGTTTTGACAATCTCAAAAATGAAACAAAATAAAAATTAAAAAATCACTTTCCCTCATCCGGAGCAGCAAGGAGCCCTCTTTCAAATGAGACCAGCCCGAGCGCTTTAGCTTGAAGTATACTGAAAAAAAGTTTGTACGCGTGAAAGTTCTATTTTGCTCCTTGGTCCCTGAAAATCTCCCAAACAGTAAGGTTTGAGGTCATGAAATTTTTTTTATATATGCACCTCCATGGACCGAGCATCTATAGAAAGTTTCGTGAAAATCCCATGCATCGTATCGAAAATCGATTTTGGAGGGGGAAGGGGGGGCGGCCTTAATAATTTCCTTATTCAATGTGTCTTTACTTTAATGCACTATAAAGTAATTGTATATAATATTTGGAAGACATTCAATAAAGCTCTATTTTGTTAATTGGAAATAAATATTACCTTGTTCGGATTAACCTCATCGTAAATAATTAAACATATTTTTTTAATTTTGCATGAAATACACGCAAAAACCGATAAAAGTTTGTCCAATATTTGAATTGTAGATGACGAGAGATGCTCATGTAGAATTAGTAAAAAGAAATTCAATATTAAACTATTTAACTTTTGTCATACAACAAATTTTCTTTTTTTTTGCATATTATCTTGATATTAATTGCTAACTTAAGTTTTAAAATCACAATGATTTTAGTTTATTTCTTTTAACAAACAATCCAAAAACAATATTAACGAATACGGTTCTTTTTTATTCTATGTTCGATTTTTTCTATTATTATTTTTTGATGATTTTTGTTGTTTATGTCCTTTTCTATTTGATTGTTTGTTTTTATTAAATTTATTGCGTTGTTTAGCTGCACGTTTATCTTTCTTCAAACGTTTGTCAACGACTTTATAAGGTCCTTTTGCACCGGATGGTCGAGCAGCTCCACGTTGAGATTTTTTAGCAACAACATATTTAACATTAGGTTTTTTCTGTCCAATAACGCCATATTTTCGATATAGACTAAAACAAATAAATTTAATTTCTATGAAAAAAAAACAAAAATGAAATAAAATTTTCAAATTACTCTTTAATTTGTTTATTCCGTTCTTTATCATCTAAATCAGCATTTTCAAGTAATGGTTCAGCTTTCTTTTTAACTTTTTCAAGTTTACGTAATTCCTTAAAAAGAAACAACAAGAAATCAAATAATACAATAAGTAATAAATAGACTTACACGTCGTTTCTTTCGTGCTTTAGCTTCAGCAACTTTTTTCGTTGGTCTTTGATCAATTTCTTTCATTTTAGCTTTATATCGTTCAACAAGTTCTTTTGTTACAGGTAAACTTGCTCGACAATGTTGTTTTTCTTCTTCAATAAACCATGTAGGTAAACCTTCAATATCACCATAACCCATAAAACTAAATATAAAAAAATTTTATTTTAATAATTTTGATATTTGAAAATGAATACCGATTGTAAGAATGATCAATAAGCTGTTCACGATTCCTTTTTGATTGAGCCATAACATGACCTAATGCTAAATCTTCAGCATCAAGATGAATACGCTTCATAGCTAGAAAATACAAAACAAAAAAAAAAAGTCGGAAAAACTTATCAGCAGATTTCTTATGAGTCTAAAATGTGAAACTCACATGTGTTCTTAAGTTTTATTATTCTAATACAAAATACATTAAGTGAAAAGTCTCTAGAAAACTATAGTTGTTTTTCAAGGATAATCAATCGCTATGAAAACAATTTATCCTACTTATTTCTGCATTTCGAAGAGAATTTTTTTTTGTTTGTCTGATTACTTTTCATTTTCGTATTCTGTTTTTCTTAATTTAACATTATTGTTATTCTAACCATTGATTAACTGACAAATAAGTCTATTATACATATCCATTACATCTGCAGAAGACCTCAACACATTATTATACTTCGCAGAGTCTACGACAATTGGTTGCAATGTTGAAAAATAAAATCGGCAAAAAAAAACTTTTCTTAGCATTGTAGGGAAACGAGGTTTTCGCTATTTGACAATGAATATACTTTTTCGGCTTCTCGTAACTTTTTTGATAAATTCAATAGGTGAATATCAACATTCAATTATCGTTTTATACCGAGATAATCTACGAATACATTATATCAGGTAAATCTTCATTGTTCACATGTCATCCTCATCTTCGCGAAGTGCTGTATCTGATTGAAATTGACTTTTATGGAAAGTAAATTAGAAATCACTCTTCTATCAAACATGCGACTAATTCTACAGCACGGTTAATAGTCGCTTTTTCTATGCTTTGGTAATCTCAGAAACATTGGTATTGATTATTTTCGAAAGTTGTTACCTGATTAATTTCATGCGTATAATGTTGATCATATAACGACTGTGACAAATCAATGTACATCACTACCCATCATATAAAATTTTATCTGTGCAAAAATCAAAAAATGAACTACTTAGAACATCTCAAACATATTCAAGCAATTCAAATTTCGAGAAAGACTTTGGAATGTTCTTTAGCAGTCAATAGTTACTATAGAAATATATTTAAAGACTGTTGGCCACTGCCCTCTAGCATTTCTATGAGGAGACAGCCACTAAATCTCAACTTAAAACTTACACTGACAACACTTTTCGAAAAAACATAATGTGAGTTTCACAAAAAATAATAATAATAACAATAGTAAATGTAAAACATACGTTGATCAATAGGTACTTCTTCAAATCCATCATCATTTAATGCACGTTTAGATTTTTTAGGTTTGTCATCATCTTCTGATTCACTCAAATCATCATCTAAATAGATTTTAGTTAAGATTAAATTATTTGATCAACCAAAACAAAAAAAAATTTTTTTTACTTTTTTTTGTTTTGAGGGTACTTTTAGATGGTTTACCTAAATATAAAAAAAAAGAGTTAAGAACAAATTCAATTAGAGATGAACGGTCACTTTCTAAGTTATAAATTAATAATAATTATTGTAAACTTTTTCATGAAAACAAATGCTACATATAATAAAAAAAAGTTAACTGAAAATTTAGTTAAGAATGAATAATATATCTTGAAAACCATGTTTCAAGTCTCAAACTGCAATATTTTATCTAGCTTGTGGTCACCACGTGACACGTTATGTGATTGTCCTTCGAGAAAAGGAATTCTTAGTAAATTCTGCTTAATGGTACTTTGTAGAAACAGACTAAGACTGAAGTATCAACTATTTACTTCAATTTTTTCAATATCTTCTTACTTTCCTGATAGAGTCAAATTTTTGAAATTTGCCATGAAAATTTGTTCCTCATCAAAACTTAAATTGGACGAAATTGTCAACGAAGTTTCACCCGTTTCGGATAGATTATCCCTGAGATATGAATTTCCCCAAAATATCGAGCTCATAGCGGAATATTGCAAAATATCTATATGTATATTATAGAAAAGACTCCTTTGTATTGTGGGATCTATGAGTATAGTGATTCGATCAAGCTCCGTTATATGTCAAGCTGGATCGATAAGAAATTGTCAGTACCGACAAGATCTACTAGGCTCTCACATTATACTTGTGTTTCCGCTGTTAGCCTTATCCTAGATTCTGTCGAAACTATGTATAAAAATTAATAGAAACTGAATTATTTTAAAATTTAATTTTTTAAAAGTTACTGTGTTATTCATTTCTCATGTAATTTGCAGATACGTAATCCAATTGAAGCCTTGATGTAGGTAAATTTTTTTAGGTTAAAATTCAAAAATTTGACTTTACATGTAAAATAAGTTGCTGCAAAAAAAATGATAGTAAAAAATCGATAATACAGTCAAATATTAGTTCGTGCCCATATTCGCACAAGTTTTCTCTAATCCTATAGATTTTCTACTTGTGAAGAGAATTTGAGTTTTATACTTTTTCATCATACGATGAATAAATTCTCTCGTCAATGGTTACATTTCCATGACACAATCTACACGTGAGTTTTCTTTCTTTTGAGATAAACATATAATCATCATTTTCAAAGAATTGTTTAGTAACTATTGTGGTCTGTTTATCTATCAATGTTAGTAAAGCTCGATTATTAAAATCGGATTTTATTATTCATCTATCCGATTATCTTAACTAGAAAATTGATATACACATGTAATGCGAATAAAGATAATTTTCTAAATCCAATGTATACTTATTTCTAATAAGAAAATCAATTGGTGTAGCAAGCGAAAGACGAGCTCAACGATTGGAATAAATTTTAAAAAATCTATTTATCGCTCGTTTTTACCTAGAATAGATATTCCATCTGATTTAAGTGCGTTTAATTTTCTTTCAAGTTCAAATTCTTCATCATCATTATCATCTTGTAATGTTTGTTTAAATATATCTTGTTCAAACCAAATATCAGCTACTGTTTTTGCTTTAGCTGATTTTGTTGAAGCATCAATAATATCCATATCAAGTGGATTTTCTTCTTCATCTTCCCATTCATTATTATCATTATCTTCATTTTCAGATTCATCATCATCGATATCACTAAAACAAAAATTATTCATTTTTTTCAAAATTTTTCTTTCTAGTTTATATGATTACAGAAGTTTCACCTGCGGAAAAAACAGCATACTTCAAGTACATTGAGTTATTTTGAAATCACATCAAAACACTTTCATGTGTGAGTGATGAGGATGAGAGTTAAAGCCCCAGAGAGTCAAACTGTTTGACTTCAAAAAAAGTTTATTTTGTCTCAGATATACACTTTTTTCTCTTGCTACTTTTTTTATGAGAACATCTCTATGATGTTTTTTTGTTTTTACTTGAAACTTATTTATGAATTCATAAAGTCGTTTATTTTTGTTCATCATCTAGCATATGAAGGAGAAACTTATCACTATGCAAGAGTAATAATACTTGACTCTTTTACTGATGTAACATCCATGAAGTCGGATTTGGGCGTCCAATGCAAGGGTCTAAAGATAGTCTTCCTCTTATCAAACACGCACATTCTGTATCATTAATTAGCAACAACAACACGAACTATAGCTTAATATCTAAAATTGAGAATGTGCAGTTTTGGTCAAAACTACAGACACACTGACTGCACTGGATCAGTGTTCACTGAAGCATTGACACATTCATACAGTATCAACTTCTATGAATAGTTTGTATACGCCATAGTCTTCTAATAAAAACTCTGAAACAATTAGGTTTCCTATGGAGATTTGATTAAGCTACCAAATTTTTAATATGTATTTTTTAAAGATTTAAGGTTTTCGGAAAACTCTTATTTTCAAATTTTGATTTGCAACTTTGCACATATAAAGAACTCAACTAGGTTAGCTCTCATATAAAAATGCATGTTCTATACACTAACCACGGAAAAAAGTCTATATGTTAAAGAGACCTGGTTCAAAACTTTTGAGTTTTTCTATGGAAGCTAATTTAGCGGAGTTCACTATATGCGCGCAAAGCTTCAGATAACAATTTGATAACTGAGTCAATAGGAACTAAAATCCTTTTAGGATTTTTATTAGAACACTATATAGTATCAATAGGCAAAAGATTATTGAAATCGAAAGGAGACATTTGAACTGATTTTCTAGTCAGTAGATAGTACTGAACACTATGCAGTGCAGCAACTATTGATAAATGAAATGCTTTTTTATAAGGATTAATGACATTAAGTTCGGTCGGGTCCGAAAATTTATTAGACTTTCTAGTTTATTTACCTATCGAGTTTTACTGGCCGTTGTTCAGAATCATAAGGAATTGATTGATTTTTATCATCTTCATCTTCATCTTCATCATCATCAAGATATTGTTTATAGATTTCAATTGATGATAAATCATGATTATTTTTATCTTTATCATAAGATACACGAGGTATTCGATTTTTTTCTTGACCAAGATAAACATCATCATCATTGTTAATATTATGATCAATACGCAAATCAATATCAGGTAAAGCAGCTGAAATTTCAAGTAATTGCTAAAATGAAATTATATTGTTTTTTGATGACGTCTTTTTTCGTAATTGTAAGAAAAAAAAAAGATAAAACAAACTTTTTTTGTTTTTATTTTTTCAAGATCAAATAATCCTTGATCATTTTTTCCACCTTCAGCTGTTTCATGATCATGAATATCTCCAGGTAATATCATTTTAAGTGCAAGACGATCACGTATTTTTCGTTTTTCTTTCATTATATGTTTACGTTTTCTAGAAAAACAAAAAACAAATTAAAGTTCTTTGATTGTTATTATTTAAATAAACATTCGAAATTTAAAAACCTTTTAGCTTCTTTTCTTTGTTGTTCATTAAGTTTAAGTAATTGTTCTTCAATATCTTTATCAATATCATCATCTTCATCATTTTCATCATCTTGATCTTTTTCTGTTTTTTCTTCTTTTTTTGTTTCATCCAATTGTTGTTCAATAGAAGGAAGAGTTTTTTTAAAAAGTGATGCAGCTAAATGACGACGCCAAGCAAGAATTAAACTAAATAAAAAATTTTAGTTTTATATCTATTTGTTAATAAATTAACTAACGTTATTTCTCTTCGACCAAGAACTTTAATATCTTTAATACATTCTTTTATTTCAGATGTTGTTTGTGGATGTTGAAGTATTCGTTCATCATCAAGAATAATCTAAGAAGAAAAAAATAATAATAACAATTGATCTAATATCAATATTGATTTTTCTTACTTCATTAGCAGTAGCTAAATGATCAAGAAAATTTTCACTTTGAATAAATTTTGTTGCATCTAATTTGTGATATAAAGTATAATCTCCTTCTGGATAACCTTCTCGACTTCTGAAATAGAAAAACAAAATGAAATTTGCTTTTTTATTTAAATCTAAAAGATAAATATAATGAAACAAACCGAATAAATTTTTCAGGATGTTTTAATCGTAGTTTTGCTTTATTTTGTGCTTCAGTTACATCATTATCAACTTCAGTAAATACATGTTTATAATCAAGAAACTTTGGATCGATCTTATCAGGTGCTAAATAGCCTTGACATACAACGAAAATTTCAGCTGATTCATTACGTGAAGCCTAGTAAAAACATTATAAATGAATATATAATAATAAAGTGGTAAGCACAATTTCTGTAAGATTAAAATATGAAACATGATGTAGTTGCTATTGCTAACCAGCAGCAATTTGTTTTATTCTATCTCTTTTGGAAGGAAGGCAAAAGAATATCCGTACCCTTTAGCTACCTTGCGGTACGAGATGTTGCCTAGGTGTAGATTCAGTATTCCGATATCTTCCCTACAACGATGATTATTTTCAGCTGTGAATAAAAAACTGGTCTGACAAAGAGTTCTTGTGGTTATTTTCTTGAACTCTCCATACACAGTAAATGACTACATATTAACTACAAGAGCAAATTTATGTTACAATGAAGTCAGTATACTATCGAACGAGTGATCTGAGATAAATAGCTGCTAGTGACTTGCTTAGGAATATTCCCTATCTGATGATACTAAAGTTTGTACAAAGCATCATGCGGATACGTATCGAAAAATGTAGTCTCTGGTTTTTATACATTAGAACTGAAGTTTTTCAATAGATTCAGCATTTAATTCTCTACAAAATTGTACATAAATGTATCTCATAGAAATAAAAGTAAACACATCATTGTAGTAATATTACGAACATACAATACCAACAATGTTCAATAGTACTTCCAGCGGACGGATCAGAACAATTATAATTTCGTAGTTTCGAAAGTTATATGTTGTGCTACATTCAAGAACTTTTCTAACAAAACTTTATTACATAAAATAACAGCTAGATAAAAAAAACAAGGGTTTTTTAACTGGTAAAAATATGGAGATCCTCATTCTTTATAGATCACTCGTTCTTAAAACACGATGTTATCGATATACGGTGTCTGATCGTGTATTAATGCTTGTGACACAGAAAGAGAAAGAGCAAAGGCTTTCCGCATTATTTGACATTCGTAACAAAAACTTTTACATTAGTAAATAGAGCCTGTCTTGAAGTATATTTACTATGCTTTCCACGGATGAAAAGTTTACCTTTGTTCTTTCATCTAATTCGCTGTGTAGAAGGCGAATGTTACTAAGGTTTTCTTGGCACAGTCTGCAGTAAGGTCCGAACTACTACTCTTATACCTAGACATTCTTTCCTTTTAAATATTATGTTGTAAAAGAAAAAAACAATTTAAACCTGAGGTTTAGTTGAATCAACACGTTTGAACATTTGTTGAAAAACCCATAATAATGAATAATAATCTTTCGAACGAAATAATTTAGTAACAAATATACCACCTTTACGTAAAAATTCTGTTGCTAATTTAAGTGCATTTAATGTTAAAACGTCTACAAATAAAATGATACTTTGTTTTTTTAGATTTCAAAAAGAAATGAATAAATACATACTCTGTTGATATGCATCATGTATCCAACTTTTACCAACATTAGGTGCACCATCATGAAGAATAACATCAGCTTTAAATGTTCCTAGATCTTTTTTTAATAGCTAAACAAAAATAACAACAATCACATAGCTTATTAGAAGGAAAGATCTTTGGTTGTTTTTTTGTCTTCTCTAATTACTTGTCGACATTTTTCAGATGTAATATCTTCTTGATAAGTTATTGTATGTGGAATGGGTTTTATTGGCGCTAAATCAACACCTAACAAAAAAAGAAAAGTCATAAAATTTAATAATATTATTCATATTTTTGATTAAAAATTTTACCAATAATTAAACTTGCTACAGGCATATGTTTTTCAGCAACTTGGAGCCAACCACCAGGTGCTGCACAGAGATCAATAAGAACACGAGCATTTTCGAGAAAACGATGTTCACGATTTAATTGCAGTAATTTAAATGCAGCACGAGATCGAAAACCTATTTGTTTTTTCAAGTAATAAAATTAGTTGTAATAGAATATGAAATAATAACATACCAGATTCTTTAGCTAAATGATAGAATTTATCTCGACGGAGTTTTCCTGTTTTAGCTTTTTTGCCCATGTTTATCTGAAAATCTATATGAAAGAAAATATATCATAACAATTTTATTTATTTTAATACAAAGAAATAAATATTTATTCACTAGATCAATAATTTAAAGTTATGTAATTACAACAAAGATCAATTTAATTTAATTTAACATCATAATTTTTTTGTTTTGAATTGTATTCCTCTAAAACTTGTTTGTTGTAGATTCAATCAATGTACTCTCAAAACTATACATAGAAAGTCACACGCATGATATATATATATACGTCATAGACGACTCTAATATATTCACAATCTAAGTAGACTAATAGGAATCTCATTGTAATTCTTCAGAATGTATCAAGTATCTTTCTAGGGAACCTTCTTGATTGTTTAAGCATTTTCCAATTGAAAACATTGCCATTCGATAGGTTTTTATCAGTAAAGAAAAATTATATTTCGATTCAATGTTTAGCCTATGAGATCTTTCTATAAACAGAATTTAATTGAGAAAAATTTAATTATGGAGTTGCTGAGAAAGAGAAGGTTATGGAATCAAATCAAAATAATTTTTTACACTATTTATCACAACAAAACCCATAGTAATAGTCTCAATCAGAAAGCAATAAAATAGTTCAGTAGATTTTCATGTTCATTCTGTAACAGTCATATATGGGAAATAATATTTCACATTCTTTAAATTTGATAAATATCAATCGAAAACAATGTGTCATAGCCTCGAACCTTTCCCGTCATAAGAATAAGATATATAATTGCTCCATTAGTTATTGTTAAGTTCTTATGTAAAACAATATATAAATATAGATACTTAGTACAAAAATAAAACATACTATAACAATATTAATGACTCATAATGCATAAATATTAAAAAAAACGAATAACTAATGCAAATTCTTTAACATAAAACTTATAAATCTCACAAAATAAATCTAAAAAAACGCAGTCAGATTTTGATATAATATCATTCTAATAAGAAAATAGTTCAGTCATTTAATTTTTTATGTTTCTTTAGCTTATGCTCATCTTTCAAATAATAACTACTCCTCTATAATAATAATGAATACGAACTAAAATAAGAACGAATAAGAAAAAGAAATTTTATGAAAAAAGAAACTATAGTTAATACTTATTCAAGATCATTTATAAAAGAGATAGAAAATAGATTCGTTTTCATATATTTCTGTATTTATTCATTCACCCAACTAGCAACTAGCAATTACATTTTGCACTTGAATCAACCATTCAATAAGCAGAACCAATCAATCATTGTACACTAACGACATCTAGGTAAACACATTCAAATCAAATTAAAATCATTTTTGATATGTTCTAGTAGCAAAATTTTTGTTTTTTTCATTTAAAACTTTTTTTTTATAAAATTAATTTACTATATCCGCCATATATTCGTCCAATGTCCTTCGGTTGTTCATATTGTATTGGCAGCATAATTCTCCTTCCTCAACACACAATGTAATGTATTTGTCAGGGTCAAAATCAAGAATATGTAATTCACATTTACTTATATTTTATTTCTAGATCTTTTCATTACTACAACATAAACAACAATGAGTAAAACAAGTGCAAATTTTGGAGGTACAGTTGGTTGGGATGAACAAACAGTTATTGGTAAACGTGCACCACGACCAGGAGAATTAAAAAGTGAATCAGCAATAGCTGCAGCTGAACGTGCTGGTGTTGCTATTGATACATCAAAAAAATTTGCCGCTGGACATAATAAACAACATGAAGCAGCAAAGAATACGGCAGTTTTAGATCGTGAAACTGAAGAATTACATCATGAAAGAGTTAATAAAGATGTTGCACGAGCTATTCAACAAGCACGTGTTGCTAAAGAATGGACACAAGCTGATTTAGCAAAACATATTAATGAAAAACAACAAATTGTTAATGAATATGAACAATCAAGAGCTATTCCAAATCAGCAAATTTTAAGTAAAATGGAACGTGCTTTAGGTGTTAAATTACGAGGAAAAGATGTTGGACAACCATTTAGTACTGGACCAAAGAAGAAATAAAGGATTTGAATTGAAAAAGACATTTTTCTCTTTCATTCTTTTGATTTATTATGTATATTTATCCTTCTTTTTTTTCTTTTTCAAACTTATGCTAACATTTTCTTTTGATTTTCTTTTCATGGATTAAAAAGATTAAAAGAAAAACAAAAAAAAAAAGCAGCCAACAATTAGCGTAAAAAATTCAGATTATTGTTGTGAAATGCTTGTAGATGAGTTAATGACAATAGAGCTTTCATTTATATACATTCTTAATTTTTGTAGATGTATCAATTTCTTAGATTTGTTTAGTCTAAAACATAGTTATTCGACGATACACTCAAATTAAGGCATGATTTCTTTTTATGCAGATGTTAAATTCAATATTCTTTATATTCATTTTAGTCTTTCTTTATTAAAAAAACAAAAACATGGATCAAGCCGATGATTTAAAAGCATTCGAACGTCGTATGATCGAAATAGTTTCTTCCCTTCAACCATCAATATGGCGTTGGCGTGTTATATTACTTATACTTATTGCAGTCACACTTGTAACATTTTATGCATTAATTACCGATGATTCATATACGAAATTACCAACAGTCAACACATCTAGTGATAATTCTTTTCTATCTTCATTATATTCAAATCTTTTTCGTAAAAAAATTTATTTTTCTGTTTCATTGGCTTTACTTATATTTGGTTTTTTATTTGGTATACATCGTAAAATGTTTTCATCATCAATAATCATAGCAAGATTTCGTTATATACTTGCTGATTATAATATGTCATGTGATTCTGATGGTCGATTAATATTAAAACCACGACCATCATCATCATATCTAAGTGGATCATCTTGATAATTTCCTTTATGTTGTATTATAAAAATTCTTTCTTTTTTCTTTTTCGAAATATAAAAAAAAACAGATATTATTTCGATTCATATGATTGTTTTTGTTCCTTTTTGTTTTTTAGTATGAGTACAGAAATAAATCCTAATTCTTCTCCATCAACATCACAACAACAAATAACACCTGTACAACGAAAATTACAGAAAATTCTTGATTTAAAATTAGAATCGGATAAAGATTTAATTGAATCTTTGAAATATTTATCAACTTTTTTTAATGAAAATAGTGTAAGAACAAGACGTGCATTAAGAAGTACAATTGAAAAACGTAGTTTAACATTAAATGATCAATTTGAAGAATGTTTTCGTGTTGTTAAACAACAACTTGATCAATTAAATGATACAGTCACATCTATGTCAACTTGTTGTGAAGATATGACACAACGATTAAAAGTATCAATATATAAAAATTCAATATTATTTGTTTTCTTTTAATTAGGAATGTTTTTTTTTTGTGTGTTAGAATGTTAAAGCACAAACACAAGAATTAATAAATAAAACAACACAAATACAAAATGAAAAGTAAGTTAAATTATAACTTTGAGATTGATATTTTATTTTATTTTTTTCATTAGTCAAGAATTAAATATAAAATCTTGTATAACCGAAGGATTTATTGAACGATTTCAATTAACACCTGAAGAATTAAATGCATTAAGAACAACACGTGATGGATTTTTACATCCAGTAAGAAGAATGTTTTTAAACTTGGATTTTCTTTTTGAGCTCAAAACTTAATAAATTTTTCTATTGTCATCCTCAGAATCAAGTTTAAAGAAGTAACGATGACGACGGTTACCAGTCTTAAGTAGAGCGCTGTACTAGTCTAGATGTACACGTATAGTCTAAAGATGAAGGTAAGATAAATCTATGATGATCTTAGACTCATATCGACTTTTTTCGATCGTGGAAAGCCTATTTTGAGAAAATAACTGAATTTTTAAAAGCATCACTAAACCATGGAAACTAAGCCTATCTCGAACAAGAAAATCGAACTCGAGCATTTCGACAGACATCTCGTAGATTCGGATTTCTAAGCCTCTAAAACTGTTAGTCTGTTCTTTTTTATATAAAATTCAGCTATTTTCTTGAAGCAGACTTCCGCCAACCGAAAAAAGTCGTGATGACTCTAAGACTATCATAGTTTTATCATGCATTTACTGTCTTTATCATTAGTCTCTACGTGCCTGTGTAGACTAATGCAAAGATGTACATAAGACCGGTGCCATGCCATCATAGTATGGTAATAGGCAGCGTATTGTCACTGTTGCATTGCTCATTAAATCCTTTCATCGATCAAACTTCATCAGTTATAGGATCAATGAAGAAAAGATAAATTGTCTAATGTTCTCTCATTACGAATATTTGATTCAAATCTGATGTGGTTCTTTTTATTTTCATAGGAATTTTTTAATGTTCTCAAACGTGTTAAATCAATTCATCAAGATTGTAAATTATTATTGCGTACAAATCAACAAACAATTGGTTTAGAAATCATGGAACAAATGGCACTTCATCAAGAATCAGCTTATGAAAGATTATATCGATGGTTACAAAGTAAAATACATTTTCGATCTTTTTTATCGATATTTTAATTGAATATTTGTTTTTTTTTTCTTCATGTTAAAAAGGTGAATGTCGACTTCTAACAACAGAATCACCAGAAATTTCAACATTAATTAGTGAAGCACTTGACGGATTAAAAGAAAGACAAGTTTTATTTAAGTAAGCACTGAACTTAATAATAAATTGAAATTCAGAAATTTTTGCATACTGAACATGACAGTGTGTATCAAAGACCAATGGTTTGTTTTTCTTAATTTTGACACTTTTATAATATATTAATCAAATGTTACAAAAGCATTATCTGATAGTAAATATCAAAGGAAAAATTGACACTGAGAAAAATTTCTGTAAGATTAATTCTCATATGTATATTTCACTCTCATCTAAATCCTAACTGAACTTCTTAATCTATCAATTTTTATTTTGATAAAGCAAGATTGTATATTATTTTTTGTTAGATACGTTCTTGATGAATATGGTACTGCTCGTCGTAACGCACTTGTTCGTGGTTTTATCGATGCATT